CAAATAGCAAATTATAGTCTTATTTTAAATACTCTTTTAAAAGTTTTAAAGGGTCCACATTAGTAACATAAGCATTTACTGAGTACTGCATCTACTGCATCACAGACTCTTGGCTAGGTGCTACGTATGCAAAGATTAACGAAAAAGAGCCAATGTCTGCCCTGAAGGAGCCCACTTGGTGGTCGCATGGAGATGAAAACCAATGGTTATAACACAGTTTAAGTACTATAATAGAGGTATGTATTACAAATAAGATTGTCAATGATTGCATTCTTTTAAGCTCATCTCCCATTAATCACCTTTCAAATTTTACACTTAAATACCAAATTTTCTGTAATTTCCCTAACTCTTCCTGTTTTGCCATTCCACACCATTGCACACATTATTCCTTCAATCTTGGATGTTTACCCTACCCCATACATCTTCTCTGCTTAATAATCTCTAATTTATTTTTTAAAACCAACATGGATTTCTCCTTCTCTAGGAATCTTCCACTCACACTCTCCTCTCATCATCATACTTTCTGCTGCTACACCTGTCATCACACTCTGATGCAGTTATGTATGTATGTATCTTCTCTTCTAGACTGAGATCCTTGAGATCAAAGACTGTAGCTTATTCAACCATGAATCTCCAATTACTAAAATTGTTCGTGGCAGAAAGTATTTGCCATTTATTGAATTGTACTGAACCTACAGAAAAGACTCATATAGGTATTAGAATGGGGAAGGAAAAGGTTCTGGAAACTCTTTGGAAGGAATTTTTTTTTTTTCCAGAGACAGGGTCTCGCTCTGTTACTCAAGCTAGAGTGCAATGGCTGATCATAGCTCACAGCAACCTCGAATTCCTGGGCTCAAGCAATCCTCCTGCCTCAGTCTCCCAAGTAGCTAGGACTACAGGAGCCTGCCACCACGCCCAGCTAATTTTTTAAATTTTTTGTAGAGATGGAGTCTTGCTAAGAGAAGATAATTTTTACACTTGATCTTAGCCAAAAGGCTGTGAAGTGATGAGAAGATAATTTTTAAGCTGATTCTTTAAAGATGAGTTGGAGTCAATCAGATAAGACAGTTGATGAGATAGATGGTCCAAGAAGAAGCAAAACACAGGCCAATGCCTGGAGGCCCAAGGGGGGTTTTATAACTATGGACAGATTCTGGGCTCCAAGTAGATAGCACTAGTCAAAGGAAAGACGTAGAATAAAAGATGATCTGTAAAGGGAAGCAGGGACCAGAGCATGGATACGAACTTTTATCCTTTGTTAAGGAATTTGAATTAATTTTTTTTTTTTTTTTTTTTTTTTG